AAAACAATTTATTATAATTATTATTTTATTGCTAAACAGAAAAATAAAAATGTATTATAAAAAGGAAAACGTTTTATGCCATGTAGAGGGTAGGAATTTTACTCGCCAAACCACCAAGTGAGCCATACAAGTCTTATGTGCGGTGACACAACGTGCTATTGTTGTATGTATATTAAAGTCATCGTCTTCCCAAAAATAAAAATGTTTCCATTGGCGATTACCACGTCTAAAATATACAAATTCCTTACAAAAAAATTTTATGTTTTCTATGGTTGATTACCATCAGTGTTAAACCACTTTTGACGCAATAATCCAAATATGAAATCTTACATTAAATTTATGCTTGCTCCGTAAAAGAAAAAATACGATTTGGTATTTGACTTAGAAAAAAATATATTTTCAGCTTGCTGCATTGCAAACGTAACAAACGTAGTACGTAACCAAGAATTTAATTTGTACGATAATTTTAATTGAGACAATTTCGGCTACTCAATGAAATAAATAGATCTTGACAACACAGAGAGATTTTAAGTAGGTTTTGTTAAAATTTAACAATCTGTTTCCAACTTAAATTACTACTAAAAAAACGCCATATTCCTACATAAAATTTAAATTATTGGGTTTCCCGCAATTTTTTGTTAGGGGCGCTAAATAACAATATTGAAGTAATAGCATCTATTAAAATATGTCGATGTATGTATATGTTTGTAACATTCAAACATTTGCCTATATACATATTTTCACCCGCTTAAGCACTAAATGTAAAATTAAATGATATATTATAAAGGAAGTAGTAACATGAAAAGTTATCAATACCTTAATTAAATCGGCATTACAAACTCCGCTCTTATCGATTTAAATTTACATTTTTAATATGTATATTACTATTTTCCAATGCTTCAGTAGATTTCTTATTCATCAAGGGTGCAGACAAATTTGTTAGATTATCCGCTGCTTGTTCGTCCATTAATGTGCCAATTTTGTTATCAGCATTATCTGCATATAAGTTGTTATTTGTTCGAATGTTTTCATAGTGATCCTCTAGAAAATGTTCATCATCAGTGCTTTTATTCCTTTTACCATTTGACAAGTGCTCGTTACGGTGAAAAGTTGCAGATGGGTTTAAATAGTAAGGGGAACGTGGTCGTGGTAGGTCATCGGCAGGCAAGGCAAATCCGTGTGAAATTAATATATGTCCAATGTTGACTTCCACACCTGAATTGTGAACATGTTTTCTTAATATATATTTTTGAGAATAATATGCATAATTTTCGACTACCTTCTGTCAAATCAAAAAGTTCAACACCTGGTATGGGTGAACTCTCTCGGGCAGCACCAGATGCACCCTTTTGTCGCTCTTTATAAGTTGTTGCTCGAGAAATGAGTTTCTTCCAATTAGCAACTGCCAGAACATAAGATAATTAAAGTAAAATAAAAATGACAATAATTTAGCTTGCCTTGAGTAAGCTCCTCAAATTTTTGGATTGATAGCGCATCCCAAGTATCTGCATCTTGCAGCATGGTAGACTTAACACCTGCTAAGAAACATTCTACTGCTTGGAATCTAATCAATTATTACAAAATTAAAAGTTGCTAAACGTTGAAAACTGACTTACTCACCTTAAAGTCAAAAAATCGGTACGCAATTCAAATACCTCATGGGGCGATACATATTCACTATCGCCGTAATCAACGAAATAAAGGTCTAGTACTACGTCGTTAGGGTTATACTGATTTGGTAAAATACCCACAATTTCGGCACGATACCAYTTTCCGTCATATTTAAATACGGCTGCCACAATTTGACCTAAATATGGTTCCACGATTTGATGACGGGCTTTATTCTCCGRTTCACTGTAGTAGTCTGTCATTGATTGTACCATATCATCTAGTTTCTTTGATTGAGGACCAATAATTTGTACCCAAAATTTGGAAGGTGATGCAATGGCAGATACATAAACCTCCATCGGCTTATCCTCATTCCGAGAAGCGAGAAGTTTTTCACGGGGAGGCAAATAGGAACTCAAAGACGTTTGCGAAGAATACATGCTTGAATTAATGCTGTTCGAAGGCGAACGACGCGGCTCGCGTCTATGTTCGACTTCTTCAACGGCTCGACGAAGGTCTTCATCTTCTTCAATTTTCTCCTCAATCAATTTTCGAGCAATATTTACCTGTACATTTTKTATGATAAATTAGCAAGTAAATATTATATTTAGATCACTTAGTTATAAAGGTACTTAATTAATATCTAATCAAATATTTAGAATAGTAATGTTAAAAATGTATATTGTCGCACCTGTTGCTGATTTCCAGTTAAAAGAATGCGCCTTTTATCCATAGCCCCTCCGCTGCGACCACTGCCTGAGTCCACAGTAACTTTTGCCAAAGATATGCGACAAATTTCTTGCATTGCCTCACCGCATCGTCCCATAATTTTTCCACATACACTTTGTGGGACAAAGATTTCTTCCTTGACAATTGGCGCCCGTTCTATTTCTTTTAATAGTAATGTGCGAGCTTGTTTTACACCGTCTSTCGTTCCGTATATATCACAGCATTTGTACTTATCATTTTTGTCTCTACACGTCCGTCCATCCAAGTCGAATAATGAAAATAAAATATTTACTTAGATGATTTAGTATTTGTAGGTATAACAATTACCTTAAATGTATTTTTGTGCTCGTCTGTTGTTCAATGGATTTTAAATTAGATCCTCCACGACCCACACATAGTGGTATATGCTCATTTAATATTTCAAAGTTGATCTTCATTCCTTCGTCAATATTTTGTGGTTTTCTTTTCTGTTTTACCACGGGTTTTGGTTGTGGCACATCCTTATCTTCATCCCGATTTTTGAAATAGGTATATAACATAGCGCCACCCAAAGTGCATAATCCAAAACCAAGGATTAACTTATATATGGGCATACTAGTTAAGCCGTTGTGACGTAGCATCTTACAAGTTTTGTATTAAATAAAAAATTCAACCCTAAAAGAGTTTTTGAAAATTACAATTCCTTCCTTTGTCACTTGGAACAAAAAATGTGTTAATATTTTCTTAAACCCCCAAATTTTACAGTTTAACATCTAACATACACAGTTCAAAAGGATTTTTGTCTGCCTAAGAGACAGTTTTATTATTTACACATGCATATGGGAAGTCCATGACTATTTAAAAGCCGCTAGCGCCCTTAGTTTACGTTTTTTATATAAATACACTGCAGATCCATATATACTTATACATGTGTATCGTGCAACTAAACCCCGATATTTAGAATTTATCTATTATTCAAGTCAATATACCAGGAACTTCAAGAAATTCATCAATATTATACACATAAAGGCAGATTTGGCGAAAGAAAACTACATACTCCCTCAGATATTTCAGAGTTTGAATTTGTTGAGAAATTTATTCTGGATGTAGATCTGTATTCATACTCATATAAGTATGTTTGCATATATTTCGAAAGAAAAATAAAAAAGCGTCACCAAATTACGTATACGAAACGAGAGATCGCTAAATTTAGTAAAATGACATAATGTGAAATTGCTATCGATATGGTGTAATTATCAAAAGATACATTTTGGGTAAAATTTTGAGATTTTTGTTGATTGACCTTGACGATAAGAACACCGACTTATAATATTTTTAATTTGAGAAACTGCGATTTCATTTTGCAAAATAATGTAGCCGATATCGTTTATGAATTTTGAGGAATGACATTCCTTTGATCGCTCTGCTTTAAATGAATTATGGTATATTTCTTCACTCGATATTCCAAGTAAAAGGTAAAAGGATTTTTGCCGCAATACACATAATGAATATATTACTTATATTAATATTTGTGTGTAAATCACTTTGCATTGGGAATAGTATATAAAACATATCATACATGCAGTCTTATTCAAACCAGTTTGACTGATCTACTAATCCACAGATTGCGGTATGTACTTCGTTAAACTTATACATATTTAATTTCGAAGACATTATCGCAAACAAAAAGGTTTAAAAAATTACTTTAAAATATACTTTTCCATTTTAAGTTGATAAAAAAAAAGATTATTATTTTATTAACATATCAAACTGAAACAATCCGACCACGTTGTTTTGATGTCAATTTGATATAATGATACCCGCACTCCCGGTACAAGCTAACATATACCTTTAAACACTTTGATACAAGGCTTTTTTTTTAAGAATTTTAAATTTAAACTTCGGTAATGTTTTCAATTAAAATGTTTGGCATTGGTTTAAACCCGACTGTTATGTGCATATATATAAGTGAAGTCACTTCTGTCTACAGATAACTATTATTTAAATTCAAAACACACACATATACGGATAGAGATTGTTTTCAATTAATTCAATATTGAAGGTTGTTATATTATTTCTAGTAAGTGTTTTAATAAATGATCAAATTATTATTTTCTTATTATTTTTCTGTAACATTTGATACCTAATATTACCAAAATTGAGGCACGAATTTAATGAACGTCAACATTTGATTGTGTCAACCAGAGACAAAGCTGCCGGCTTACCTTTTTTCAAAATTGTGTAAATGTATAATCTATAGTATACATTTTATTGCGAAAGCAATATCATGCTGCATACTTTTCGATTATTTGATAAGTCCAAATTCTGTAGTTGGTTAGGTAAATTTTTTAACTTTCTTCAAGAAAAAYTATACTGATATGTTACATAAAATATTTCAAATTTTGAGGATTAAATTAATAATCCAGTTCTCCTAATTATTAATAATAAAAATAAGCTGTTTTCTAACCTCAAAAAGTATTAAATGCATAACACCATATTAACTAAAAAATATATTACGTTCTCGTTTCGATTATCAATTGTCAAAATGAAAAATGTTATTTGATTGCAGCTGTACTGGTGAACCACTTCCAAGTAACTTGCTATAGATTATAATGTCCAAGGTTTTTGTCAACATCTTGATAAATAAAAAAATCGAACAGTATATATGCTAATAAATGCACATCAATCGTATCGTGTGCACAACCTTAAAGTTAATTATGTTTGTTTTGAATCTGACTTTGACATATTTAGGAAAACTTTGGACATATTTGGTGTTCTCTGCTCAGTTGCCACGATTTTTAATAAACTATGTCGTTGACACCAGGAAAGGAAGACAACCTAAATCTCATTAAGAATTTGACCCCTGTAAGAAGTGAGTACTCATACATTTCATTAAACACTATGTTTTATACATATATATTTTAAACAGTTTCGGAAAACACGCATGGAAAATCATGTATGCAAGATTCTAACGTCCAGACATGCAAAGATCGCTTGGATGATATAATTTCACAACAAAAAAGTAATTTTTCCAAATGGCAATTAGCTCAAAAAAGAGGTTTCGCAATTTGTACATTGATTGAGGCTATTAAGACGCGTGCTTTAGAATCTAGGGAATCCAGTCGTAACCTTAAGGAAAACGAGGAAACACTTTATCCGAGAGATCTAAAACAGCATATAGAAAAACTGAATATAATTCTGACCATATTCGAAGATATAACAAAACATACAGAAGAATCACTTCGACAATTGATAAAGTTAGGCAAATTAGTTGGCAATACAGATACAGTTTTTTACCAGTCGTGGCCGTTGTCGCAATATATCAACTTCTTCGACCAATTATATTCTTCTTATAACAAAGAGAACAAAATAAAACAATGGGTTGCTTGTGAGTATATTATAGAACAACCAACAAAATATAATAATTTTCAGCCTATTAATTTAAAAAAGATGAATTGCCGCACTGTATGAACAGATCCGATTTAATTCGTTGTACAACGGCATGGGAATACCCACAATACATTGATGAATGGACATCCTTAATGTTTGCATTTTTGGAAGAAGAGAATAAAAATAAAACTTAGTTTTTGAAATTTTCTTCAAAGCTCACCTAAAATCATTAAATATGATATGCACCAGGTTAGCAAATGATGCGTTAAACTAATGGTTCGGCCGTAATCAACTTCCATGTGCAAGACAAACAAGTCAATTAAACACTTTGATCATTGTTTATTAACTTTAGTATTAATATGTTATCTAAACAATGTAAAGTTTAAAGATATTTCAGTATGCAAAATGTATTGAATTTGAAATTCCTGAAATATATTAATAAGTATGTACATTCTGTAAAAACTATGATTCTTTAATTTCTGATTAGTTTAGGAATGTAAAATGAGACAAAGGCTCCGGCCGCTGTCATCGTACAAATGAATGCCCAAATACCAAAAGAACTGTAGCGACGTTTTTTAACATTAATGTCAGCCAACTGCCTATAACGTTTGTCCAGTTGAACCTGTTACAACAAACATAATTACAATTCGAAAAACTGACAACCAAACGAGCTTCAGCACCTTAGTTAAGTCGTCAATCTCTTTATCGATTTCAAAAGTTACGGCCTTTAACTCTGCTAGTGATTCCAGCACAAAACGACTCGCAAAACTTTTTTCTCCTACGAGTATGTCATCCGGAGGCAAAATCTTCAATTTATAGTTAATAGCGGATAGAGCTGAACGCATGTTGTCCAAATGGTCAATAGCCTTGCCCAAAATTTCACAATTATATGTCTTTGCTTCAGGCAATTCACATATTCTAAAAATTGTTTTTACAAAATATTGAAATAATTAATTATACAATTTTACTTGCTCTTTATACGTTGGATCCTGGTTCGGTAGTTCTGAAAAAAAAGTTATTAGCTCCTGCCGTTCCTTGGGGTCTTTGAAACCCATCAATTGTAAATCGGGGCTTGAGAGTGAAGCCAAATCCCGATATGATATTTCTTCAGCCAACAACCTCTCTATACAATCATTGGAGTTATCACCATGAGATGACAGTAAAGTCTTAAGAGCTTCCCGATTTGACCGCTTTTCATTATTAGAACGTATCCATGACTTACGTTGAAGTCTTGCAATGGAACTATCACGATCTGGAGGCAAACTGCGATTTTGAAATTCTTTATTTACATCGAAACGCACGGCAGGTACGCCAAGTGAAGAAGGCACAGGAGTGTTAAGGTCCTGCATTTAGTCGAAAGAGCGAATATAAGGAAACACGGAAAGATGTTATAGGGAACTATATTGCAGAGAACGTTATATATTTCCTCTTTTTTATAAAGCCTATAGTATAAATATATACAATTACATATCAAAACTATCATAAATAATGATGTGGATGCCAGATTTAATGTTATTCACATTCAGCTTTATTATTTCAATGACTTGTTTCAATTCTTGGGGCAACGTTAAGAGTAAAATAGTGTATAAATAAGTGGCACTACTGATTGCCGGCAGTTAGTAAACAGTACCAGTGTAAAGGTTAGGAAATAATTTAGCCATTTAAAATCTTTCACTCGTAAAATTATTTATAAAGTATAATATAGAAATGCCGCCTTGGCTGCCTCTTGAATCTAATCCAGATGTAAGCATATTTTTTTTCCGATTTGAAACAAATTAAAAATATTTATATATTAAATTAAAATGAGTAATGATGAGTCATCGCATTTGGTTAAATTATATGCTAGGTACTTACAAAGTATATTCATAAATTGGGGGTGTCTCAAGAGTGGTCAATTACTGATGTCGTCAGCTTAGAACCGGAGATGCTCGAATGGATACCGCAACCAGTCAAAGCAATTATTTTGCTATTTCCTATATCAGAAAATGTGGGTACATATTTATGTTTGTTATGTAAATTGGCTTTGGGAAATATTCTTTATAATATAGTATGAGAAGCATAGAGCACAAGAACATGAACAATTAGCTGCAGATCCTGGAACTTTTCCTGATGATCTTTTCTACATGCGACAACTAACTTCTAATGCTTGTGGCACTGTTGCTATTATACATAGTGTGGCTAACAACAAAAGGTGCCGTATGCATTTACAAGTGTTATGAATAATGTGTTATATTTTATCTTATTAGCATTTCACTTTCTGATGGAATATTGAAAAACTTTCTTGAGAATGCTAAAGACTTAACACCAGAAGAACGTGGTAAGGCTTTGGAAAATGATGTGTCTTTTACGGAGGGCCATTATGAACTTGCCAACGAAGGTCAAACCGTTGCTAATCCTGAAGAAAAAGTAAATCACCATTTTATATCATTAATTCACAACGGGGGCTTTTTGTATGAGTTAGATGGTCGAAAACAATTCCCAATCAAGCATAGTTCGACTTCYGATTCAACATTTGTGCAAGACGCAGCTAAAGTCTGCAAAGGATTCATGGCTAGGGACCCAGAAGAAATGCGCTTCACGGTAATGGCATTAACCGTGTCACCAAATTAATATGAATTTTCTATTTAATATGCTAAATTATTGGTATTAACTTGTGCTACTGCTATTCGCTTATACACACATAATTTTAAGATAATTTTGAAAATTTGTCATACCAATTACACAAACATAAATTTCACGCTTTAAATGCTTATATTGAAATTGTAAACGAATTGAATCGATGGTAATAAAATAATTGGATATCAATGGCTTATAAAAATTATTGTTTGGTTTTATAATATGTTCAGCTTTATGGACACTTAAATTTCGCATTCAATCAAAAAGTAAGTACGTTCTCTATAGAACGCAGGAAATAGGCTTTTTTCAGAGTGGGAATGCGCATGTCAATAAATAGGAGCTATATGGGTATTTGTATGTTATGTAGTAAGTTGATTTGCTTTAACATATTTATAACATTTTAATAAATCAAGTACAAAAAATGGAGTAATATTTGGTCAGAGTGATTAAAAAACTAAGCCTTTTAAAAGCATGTTGATAAAGGAGTTGATTCGTTTTTCGACGCAACATCGTACGTTGCACTGTTATTTGGTACTGAGTATATGGATTTTTCTCTTAATCGCAGGTAAAAAACATTTTAATAAAATTTCATTCAATTTAATGATTATTGCTTAATTTTTATTGAATTATTTTAGGAATGTACAAATATATTGGTCATAACGGAAATTCGCTTAGTAATACAATACAATTTTTTAATGGCCAATTACATTCTCCATCAGGAGATGTCAACGCACAATATACGGACGAAATTTATCCTCAAAGGCTAGACAAAAGAATTTTGAAATATAGCCAATTTAAGGAGCGTTGTGCCCCTTTAGAACAYTTGGTGCGTCGCGATGAAGGTGGCATATTAGACGGTTGGAAATTGCAAGGTGTGCTAATGGTCATAAGGCACGGTGACCGTGGTCCCATGTCACATATGCGAGGAGTTATGGGTATCGATTGCAGTGCAGAAAACAACGGCTTAGTCAATCGGTGAGTGATTAATAATTTTTTTTACAAACTTCTATTGGAAACTACTCTGCAAGCCCCGTATGTACATATGTACATGTTTATACAGATATGCATATATATGTACATATGTATGTATGTGTGTGTAAAATGTTCGTACAAACTACGCAAATAAAAATTGCTACACACTTCCTGAGTGTCGAAAATCATTTACAGCTATCGCAGTTTCCTATACAATTCCACATCGTCTGCGAGCTCTAATCACATGTATTGGAATAAAATGGGACCGTTTCATGGATTTCCTTTGTTGCCAGCATCCGATCGCGCATGTCTTTTAGGCCAGCTGACATTTAAGTGCGTAAACAAACTCCTTATATAAATCAAACATATTATATTATTGCATACATTTTATATTTCTACGAATGGACAGGGGAGTCGCTCAAATGTTACATGTAGGTGATATTCTGCATCAAATTTACGCTCACGCATTGGGGTTGCTTACTAAACCAACATCAAATAAACCCTCAATGGGTGGATCCTCGACTCCTAATTCGTTGCTCACCTCTGACGAAGTGGTAGTATTTTCTACGCGCTATAGGAGAACTTTTCAATCAGCTCTCGCAATTCTCTTCAGTTTTTTGCCAAATGATAAGTGGTTATCCTTAAATATTCGCGAGTCACAGAGCATGGCGTTTTGTTTTACAGACTGTACTTGCCATCAAGCGGAACTTTTATTCAAGCGTCAGAAAAATGAACAAAAATTGAATTTGACCCTTCAACCGGATATCAGTAAGGTTATTCAATGGGTGGGGGGAACTTTGCTTCAACATACGCCAAATGGTATCAACAATGTTCAAGATGTGATGGACGTTCTAAACATGATTTTATGCCACGATGCGCCACTACCTTGTCGACAAACGATTTCAAATAATTCGCGTTTATTTTCCACTCAACTGGGTACAACCGATTTGAATGATGTCATCAACATCGACCAAGATGAAAACGCTGCAGATTCTAATTTCGTACCAGAAAATATATTTAATGAAGATCTTGACAGTGAAAATTCGATGGGATGTGTCGAAGACACTCACGTCACAGCTCTTATGGCGTATGCGAACTGGCAATCAACATACGAAGTAGCACATATATATTACAGACGAATAGGACTACTCCGATCATATGGTATGATTCGACATATCGTTAGCTATATGCTACGAATGATCTCTGGCGATCGAACTAAATTTGTTCTGTACTCAGGCCACGATTGGACTCTGCAATATTTAACTGCTGCTTTGGGAATAAGAACTGGAAAAACATTTATACCTTATGCCACTCGATTAGCAATTGAATTATACAAAAGCGAAACACATACAGACTATTATTTTCGAATAGTCTACAATGGTCGAGATGTCACACAACAAATTGAGTTTTGCGAAGGTGGTAAGAGTTTAAGAGTCACACGTGATAGTCGTGGGAATAAGGCAGATCTTTGTCCAATCGAGAATATTATTCGATTCCTTCACGAGGACTACTTTGCGCCTTTGAACGCAACTAATTTTAAAGATGCTTGCACCGCAACGGTATCACATAAAGATGTTGATTTCTGATAAATGAATCAGAAATGGATATCACAAAAACAAACCTACTCTTCTTATATAGGTTCATTTAACCGATTCTAACAAATTGTAAACCAAACATATCAATTGCAYACTTATGCACACAAATATTACATAAATACTTGTATATACTATATTTGCATACATATATAGGGATCACATATTTAAAAAAATATACAAATCTATCTAGTATGTACATACAAGAAAATTCATATTTAGCTTTAAGGTAGAATATGATACATATACCATGCTAKGTGCATGCCTATAAATAAATCTGAAACTATGAACATTTTATATTTTTATGAGCGTTGTAAATGTCTATAATTGTATCTACACCTTTTCATCTAGCTTTTTGAGACGCCAATAAAAAGAGGAGTAACCTCGAACGGGGTGTGTGACAATGATGAGAAGTTAAGTTCTGATTAAATTCATGCACTGTAGTCCAAAATGCACAATTTACAAGAATTCATATGTATTGCGCTCATTTGCTGAGCTCATCCAAAATGTTGTGCTCATATAATAAATCACCTGAAAACATGTGTAGTTGTATTGTTGTATTGGAGGTATATGACATTTTCTTGAAATTCTACCATACTTAAAGCTAATAATTAGTTGGATATCCTTTATTGCTTTAGCACATTGGGAGGGATTTATTTTGTTCCATTCCGCCTGTATTATTTTTCATAAATAATGTTTGTTGCTATGTTTTTGTACAGCTCCTCTTTTTATAATCACCCATAGATTTTCTATAGGGTTTAATGGCCTTAGGGTTAAGTCAGGCCAATCCAGAATTTTAATATTTTGACTAGATATCCAAATAAAAAATCCAGATAGTTACCGTTTAAATTGTTCTTTAATATTTCGCCGGTCATTTTACTCTATCTGAGCCCTGATTCCTGTGGAAGTTACAAATGGATCCGATTCGCTCAGCATAACCAAGGACCTATAGTCAGAACGGGTGATCTTCTTATTTTTTCGTAAAATTGAACAGGGTTATTAATTTTATTTATTTGAGCAATTCATACAATTGACACATTGTTAAAGAAACAACACTTGCGATCTATACACTTGAAAGTGCATTCAAGCATATCTCGGATCTGTGTCATCGCTTACATATGCATAGGCATGTAACAGTGTTTGTATGTATTTACATAGATGTGTATATATGTTCAAGTGTATTTGTGCACATCATATTTGTACAGAAATGTGCTACGGTTCGAACTGGTGTCTCATGCGCCTGCATTTCAATGTGCTCGTGTTGATGAGAGTGCAGCAGTGCAGTACGACTACTCGATTGGATAGCGCATTCATGACCAGCAAAGTTTAAATTACAAAAATTCCTCTTACTGTCATCTTCTGAGTTTCTGGTACAAAATGTTGATGAAGAAAAATCGTGCGAAGTTTTTTTCCAAAACTCTTTTATTGGTTCCAGTGTTGGTATATTTTCATTCGTGAGTTCAGTTATGGAACTCGRCAGACTTTTACAATCACGCAGGATTATTGGTAGATGGACTACTTTTCTTCAGATTCTAGCAAACTACATGGGAATCTTCAAATGATTTTCTTCTGCCTATTTCTATCTAAAGTTTAGGGGAAACTCTAAATCAAACGAAATCTCGTAAGTCTAATTCTTAAACGCAGTAATATGTGTATACATACATACACATATTTGTATGCAAAGCTGCAGTGATATGATGTTCACTACAAAATAATTATAATGCAGAATGGCCGTAACGAAGATTTGCCAACTAGCAAGAGAAGCAATGCATTTGGTCTAACGTCAAAGAGTTTTCCATTCATTGTCACACCTTCTGCCCCTAGAGAACGACTATTTTAAGTATATGTAAGTATACCTACTTCACCAAAGTGTTGACAGTGACTCTGTGAGTGAATTGTCTAGGCTACTTACTATACTCATCCAGAGAACTTAAAACATATAAGTATATCTTTATGTTCTCTGACTCATCACTATTGTCAAAGTCACATTAAKAGCGCTCTTTTTCAGTTTACACTCAATCTATTATTATTTAATTTTTTTGTTTTCTATTAGGGCGCACAACTATTAATCAACCCGCTTCAGGTTCCAATGTTCGTTTCAAGCTCTAAGATTAATGACTCTATTGCACATTGCACTTTCATATTTTGATTATATGTATGTACATACATATATGCTTTTGCATCATTGATTGACAACTGACTAAAAAACATGTACATACATACATATGTGTTTAGAATAGAATGTATGTTTCTAAAACAAAAACAAACAGCAACTAAATTTATTAATTATGCTTTCAAATAGAGCAGGTAAGAGGTTGAACGTCCGAAAATATATATGTATGTACATACTTAAACATGTCAATGAGAGAAGATGAATATAAAGGACGACTTTGAAAATTATATAACATACATATATACTATACTCATTTATTAATTAGGTATACATACGTACTATATATGTACATACATACATATGTGGAAGTCTTAAATATTGATAAATTTGGTATTCCGCTTATAATATTAAAATTAAATATCGTGTTCAATTATTATGAGCAGCCCTTATGTTATATACTTATGTATATATGTAGAACTTACATTTGAATATTTCCTAATGGGAGAATCGTCCCTGTGCACCCTTTCTCATTTATTTATATATGTAAATATAAACATGAATATATCGATGTATATTTAATTGTGCAATACTGCTCTGCTCAGTAGCAGCGTGTATGTGCCCACATATGTGTTTGATACATATTTACACTTACCTTTTAAATAACGATTCGCTCTGTTATGGTTGCACTTAGTGGTTATTTCTTACACTATTCGCTGCTTGCCTGGTAAAATAACATCGAATGACGCAAACGCTAGAATTTCTGAAATGTGATTTGTGACAACAACAATGATTCTGAACGAGTTTTGCTTGTTTTTGCTCCGTAAGTGCAATGTGGTTTTTATGAGTTGCACACCTGGAGAAAAATATATATTTACATATAAAGGATTTTTGTTAGATACATACTTACATACATATGCATAACACGGATGGGTTGAATCGGATAAATACTTCCTTTAGCCGCCATATACCTAATATAATCTATATCTTTGTTCTTAAAATTAATAAAATTGGGCGAAAACATGGCTCAGAGCTCATATAACTAATATCAGGGCTTTCGAGCATGGCTCTCCATTTTCGACGGGACCAGAGTGTGTTTTCCCAATAAGCTCTAACAATATAAACTATAAATATAAATAACTTATAGATATGCCACAAGTAAACAAAAATCAGCAGTTCTTCATAATCACCAATGTCAAATGTCAATTGAATATATTGCCGTATGCAAAAGTTGAGAGTTGGTCTATCGGTTGCTCCTCCGGTACAGGATCCATTGTCAATCTGTTGCCCTCCATATAAGTAAATATATATATATTCAAGCCCGTTGTCAGTTGTATACATTTCTGCTACGGAACCAACGTACCTATTCTGACGCGGCATTTAGTTAAAACCCGAGATGAAGGCTGACGAAGATTTATGTATGTAAATAGAAAAGCGATATACATACATACATACGCCTTAATATACAAAATGTAGTTATTTGAAAATTTTTAATAGTTTTACATACTGATATCAATATACATATTGTATTATAGAAAAACCTGGTTAATTGTATCTTGTATACATATAACTAAACTACTGATGCAATAAAATTAAAATTTTGTAAAAATAATAAAGTGATTGATATAAATCAACGTTTCTGGTAAATCTTTTTTATTAAGGTACTTCAGGATAAAAAAACCCTACACCGAGCTCCAGAGTTACGAATTTCGTTGACAATCTAAATTCTATTACCTCGAAATTTTTAAAATACTTCGCAACTCTGAACTTTTCGCTGCGTTTCTATTAAAGCGAATTCGCTGCAAGTTTTGATTGGTTTTCTTGTTCCGTCGTTTTGACATAAAAATTTTGCAGAAGAATCGCCTTTACATTTGCATGTGGTTTTAGTTTAAGTAAATAGTGGAATTCAAAAATRCGTTTTGAAAAATGAATCTCGTTTGGGCAAAATGATGAAATTTTGAAAATTATTCTCCTTCTGCAACTAAAATAAATAATTGAAAACTAAAAGAAAATTTCGTTTTCAGCTTATATATGTATGTATGTAAGTGTGTTTTACTCGCGGATCTTCAAAGCCGCCCCGAAGACGTCTAAAATATATAATCTGTTTGAAATGAAGTTTATTGAAAATATAGTATGATTGATCAAATAAATTAAGCTTCAGCAGGTAAAAAACTTGGCGTGGAACGAAAAAATTTATATAAGAATCAATATTTTCTGTGATTTTCCTGCGTTAAACCACAACTGGAAGAAAAAGTGAGTATTAATTTTAATCTACATTAGTAAAAAATTAAAGTAAATTAACAAAATTTTTTGTTTTACAATATAATATAGTGTTTCCTTCTCCGTTGCATTATTCGACTATGCGACCGCAAGCACCTGGTGCAGGTCAGCAACAGTATGACCATAATGCTGAAGAGCTTAGTAAAGCGGAATGGTACTGGGGTGGAATTTCCCGAGAGGAAGTGAAAAATATTTTATCTGGGGAGCCGGATGGCAGTTTTCTGGTGCGTGATGCCTTAAACAAAAATGGRGAATATACTCTAACTTTAATAAAAGATGGAACAGAGAAGTTAATAAAAATTTGTCATTTAAATGGAAAGTATGGTTTCACAGACTGCAAGTTTAATTCAGTGGTGGAGTTGATCAACTACTATAGAGTAAATTCCTTAAAGCTTTACAACAAAATGCTTGACATTACGTTGAGCAATCCAATTGTGAAACCAGCAGAGGAAGACGATCATAGCGATTTGCGATTTCTTGCCGATAAATTTCTTGGTTTGCACCATACACTAAATAAGCAGCAACACCTATTAGATCAAAAAATGAAAGTATTTAAGAACGTGGAAGCTGAATTAAATGAGAAGAAGCAGGACCAAGAAGTTTTTTTGAAGGCCGAAAAAATGTTTAAAAATCAAATAAAATTGTTAGAATCATATATATGTACGGCAATACAGCCGCAGGTCGGCACAGCTGGGATAATAACGAACGCAAACGGTGGTGCAAGTGGAGGAAATAACAACTATGCAGCTCGTCAACAGGATCAAGAAAAATTACAGGCAAATGCCACATTACTAAAAATTAAGCTTCAATCATTATGTGCAGAAATGGGAAAATTAAACCGGTATGTAGAAGACAAGAAGGAGGAATATAAAAGGCTGGAGCGTCAAATCAACGCCGCGAAACCTGAGCTGCAGGAGCTAAGTCTAGAAAAAGAAAGGACTACAGAGTAAGTAAACTAAAATCAAATTGATTAGAAATTAAGTTATACATAAAAGTTAGGTTTTTAATTTTCGTTATAAATTTTTTWAATTATTTATATATGTAAACAATCGCTATCATTATTTTATACGCTTGTTATTGCTGCGTACTATAGTCTTTTTTATATTCGTGTATATGTATGTATATATTTTCCCACTTATTACACTGCATATCAAACCCTTGTGAAGATTAACACTAAGAAAGAAAAGTCGTTGGAAAAAAATCTGCGTATACCGAATATATTTTTTTTTCGCAAACAAGATTTTTCTTCTCATGGCCTGATTGATTATTCGATTCAACTCAAATAAACGAAAGTAGATACATATCTTATATATAATAAAGTCTGATTCAAAAATGCATTTAATCGATATTCCTTATCTGTTTCCATTTATTTGCATATGCTTTTTCCTTTTAGGCGCCTAATGGAAGCTGGTATTAAGGAGGAGGATATTGTCTTACTCGCAGAAATGGGTTTCGATGCCTGGCAAAGAAGATACGAAAGTCGAACGAATTTACCGCATAATAATGATTCATTATGGTTCCTTCGCGACTGTTTGCGCCAAGAGGCCGAAGAGTTGTTGAAGGGTGCCCCTACTGGCACATTCCTAATAAGGGCGCGTTCCGCTGGACATTATGCTCTTTCCATTGTTTGTAAGAACGTCGTTAACCATTGTATTATCTATGAAACGGAAAGTGGATTTGGCTTTGCAGCTCCTTATAATATATATGATTCTCTAAAAAAATTGGTGGAACACTATGCAAGCAATTCACTCGAAGAGCATAATGACACACTGACCACCACGCTGCGTATACCTGTCAAATATTGGCATGCCAATAAGGATTCGCTTATGAAGCAATTGGAAGAGGAACTGGAATTGGAACAGCTCCAAATTGAAGAACAACAACAGCAACAACAAATAGCGCAGGTCCAGCAACAACCATTGCATCAGCTGTCAACATCCGCAATTCCAATACCCTCTAATGACACATTGGATGTACCAACACCACCCTCTTCCTTAAACTCTCTGTCATCGTCTTATCCTGGGGGGAGTGGCAGTGCTAATCCAAATTTGCCACAACCATAGTAAACAATTTTAATGAATTGCAACAGTGTTGAAGGTTATTTTTCCAAGGCCTTGTTTTAAGTATATGTGATTATGGACATGGCGCTTAAATTCGTAGTCAAAGACCGCACTAAATTTAATTACGAGATAAAATTATGATTAAAGTGGATACAAAAAACTCAAATAATGTAGCTTTCGGGTATACCATTTGTGATGTAATGGTGTTGCAATTTTTTTATATATWTTTTTTAAATACAGCAAGATGACAACGAAGTTAGGATTAATTTTCGTAATGAGTAACATTTGGGAAGCAATGTTATTATGCATGACGATTTTTTTTTTCGAAATTTAATATTAATAATAATTTCTGTAAAACAATATAGTGTTCCTAGTGTGGAAAGCACAATTGAAATCCACAACAAATTCGATCGACAGTAGAGAACCAATGAGTTTTGTCATGTTAAATTTTGAACTATACTTTTGTAACTGTTGTCATGATATCGGTAAAAATATACAAATTATTGTGAAACATATAGTTTTGAGAAACAATATCAAAGAAATAATGTCAATGTTGTTTTATATTTATACTATTTATATTTATATGAAGATATTTAGAGTAAAATCGAAATGTTCAATGTAATAATGGAATGCAAATGTTATTACGCAATACGCATTTCTTTCGTGATATGTTCAGCTGTTAAATTTATACAAGAAGAAAAACGATTATCAACTTATGGTATAAATTTGTATTGTACTATTTTTGGTTGACATTTTGTTGAAACACAATTATATCAGTTATAAATAAATAATTGTTTACTAAAAAATCTGTAAATAAAAATCAATAACCAATCTGTAAATTTGTACATAAAAATATTGTCAAATCAGGTGTAAACTAGATGAAATGTTCTGCAATAAGAAATCACAGAAATTAATTGGGAAAATCGAGAGCTCCTACGAAAATTTGTTGGTATTAATTACAATATCGAATGTGAAATTCTAGAGCTTCGAGTCTCTAATTATTAGATTGATTTTCTTGTGATTTCAAAAACAGAAACATTCTTCTATTACAGTACTCTCAGAACGTTGAATATTTTATGAATGCAATACTAAATTACCACAAATCAAATAATAAATACATGTATGTCTTTGAATATTTCACTAAAAAAAAGAACTTGAAACTTTATGTATATATACATACGTACTACATCTTTAGAGTAATTCGTATGGCATTGTAATTCCTTGCGAGGAAGAGAGGCCCAGCAAATCCCAATAGAGATTGAAACAATTGCCATTGATATCTTCCCATTTTCGACTCCAGGTTCGTTTGGAGTGAAAGTGCATCACGCGATCATTGGCTATGAAGGTTGTTAATCAGTAGATGTAGTTATTAAGTTAATTTTCTCTTTAGTGTCGCTAAATGAACTAATTTAAATGCCATATTACAAAAACGTCTATTAACAATGGCGGGAATTTCGAACCAGAGAAAGTTCAGAAACGAATATGAAATCGAATTACATATATATGTAGATATAAGATAACTTCAAAAATAAATCAATATCTCTCTTGTTAATATAGACGTTTTAGAACATCTGCCAAGCTTTTTATATTACATGTCTAAAATTTTCGCTGTAAATGCAACTAAACTTTTGTATATGTAATTGTTTTTATTGGATATATTCTATCATATTATACTAATTTAATATATACATATTTTTTATTCATTGGATTCTTGCATTTCTTTGTCCTGTTACATTGATGCTATCTATTAGAGGGTTGTATAACGGGAAGAAAAGACATGGACAAAGAAAAGTAGGCGGGATCGTCACCAAAATTAAATGCGCGCTGAATTAAGAACACAAAAGCTTAGGGATGTATGCTGGTTTACATACATATATTTAAGTTAATAAGAACAAATAAAGCATATATATAAACTATATACTGATATAAATGTTGCAAATTGAGAATTGGATAAGAATATCAAATTCTTTTGATTTCTTTTCAATCTATCAGAAGGGACAGCGGCAGCCCTCGTAATATTTTATATACATATTAAACAATATATTTTCGAGCTTTAATCCGAATTTATTGAGAATATATCTTCAATTATTAACTGTAAAGCGTTTATTCGAATGTTTTGTATGGGATTATAACACTCGTGGAGTTTTAATCCGATGTTTTTGAATTCCTATCAAGAGTTATGCAACTCAAGGGTATATTGCCTATCTCTGAATGCCTAGCGGCCTGTCGCCTGTGGCAATAACTCTTCCTTTCCGTTTCGTAAAATGTAACAATTGTTAACATTCATGGGCCCTATTGTTTGGCTGTTCCATTGCTGTTGGATCCATTACATGAGGTGCATGACAGAATTCAATCTCCTTAACGATACTCCCACTTTAAACGGACAACGTCAGACATTAACGGATGGTTTTCGTAAGAGAATTGTGTCTGCAGTGTTGTGGAGAAGATTTTGATATCTTTGTTATTTTGAAGGTATTGAATATCTCCATGAAAAACCATGGCTCGTAGATGGAAAATTAAATATTACACTTACATAATATTTTTCGTTAAAGTTATAAAAGGTGTCTAAGTAAGAAGTTTCGACTTTTATTTTCGCTTTGGTCTCTTAACCAAAAGTATATATACAAGTGTACATATGTTTGTCTAAGTTTGCTTATATCTAATGTACATAATACAATCAGCTAAATATAATTCTGTTAATGATCCAAATAAAATCACAATCCTTAACATTTTATACCGGTCAATATGACCGAAAGTTGATAGCATTTAATGTTTTTCATTTCTTATCAGGGATTTAAACTAAAGCTTACAATTTTGAAGTTTTATAAAATAAATATAAAAAGAAACTAAAATCGTATTAAATCGCATGACTATTTATAAATAAAAAAATGCGGATGTGGATGATTTATAACGGTACACCTTATGGATTATGTAATTTATCTTCTTAAGCTTCCTCTCAGCTAGAGTTGTTCAATAGGTTCCGAGTTCATGGCAGTATTTTGGAATTACTGGGGCTTTTGCTAATGCTGCCTTGAAATATTACAATTCCAACTGGAACTGTTCGTGGTCTTCTATTTTCATTGACCGTGGTTTCTTTACCAAATCGACTGGTGGCGGAACGCATTTCCGGAATGGTGTGCGTGGAGTTCCGCGAAGAAGACATGTAGGCAAATCGGATGGTGGTGTTTGACTTAGGGGCGAACCTCTCAAATCTTTGAGGAATGCGCGTTCGTAGATAAGCTTTGTTCCTGCAATAGAATATATATTCCGATATAATAAAAATATGATTCGTATTTGTATGTTTACATACATACATATGTATAAGCGCAAACATTAACTACATTTTAATACAATTAACTTTTTTGTATATGTTAAATGTTACAACTACATACATATCTATGTGAGTTTAAACATTTGAATTCTTTTCTTAAAAGATCGTATTTCATTAGCACTTCTTTATTCTCGGAAAGTCGCCAACTAGTTTTTAAGTTTATTTTTCAACATTAATTCAGATTTGGCAAATGAGTGAGCAAAGTAACATTGTAACTACAACTTTGTAATTTACTAAATTTGAATATCTATGTAAATCAAAAACATTACATGTTGTTTTGAAAACTTACCTCCAGGTGTGGTTGAATACAGTGTGCCGCCGGGAGTGGATGAATAAACTTCTGGCATCTGAATGGGGTCCGAGATAAAAATTTTTTTAGTTTTTGGCAATGCATGTGTGAATGCCTGACGAGCAGTTGGTGATGCTGACATTTTACTTTGGTTGTTTAAATCACTTAATTAATTGTCTTCTACCAAAAATTTCTTTGACACTTATTTACAAATTAAATATTTTTTTTATTTGACAATTTGTTGCCCAAGAATCGCAATATCAGCAGTTACGATCGTTCAACCTAACAATTTCCGAAAACCAAAATGTTTTCAGAATTATCCAAACTTTAAATTTGCACTCGAAACACAATTTACTTTATAAGATGATGATTACTGACTTATTTTCCGACAAAATTACGTCTCTATTCCAACGAAAGTTTTAACTTGACTGTTGTGTTTGGGTGGGGAACGTTTATATTTATACGAAAACATTGGCGTAGCGCAACATCGTAGTGGTGAGCACATGCTCGATAATGTGTTTGTCAATTTTACGCGAGCGCTATAAAGTTGAAGTCGTCGTCGCGGTTGTTTTCGTTTGTTCTAGCCAGCGCTGAAGCATTCTAGTGTGTTTCTTATATATACATATGTACGTATGTATGTACATATGCATAGGTATTAAAATTCTTGTTGTTATTGATAAATAAAATTATTGCGCACTGTGAAAGGTTCTTAGACCTCGCTGCTTGCTAGACTTCTCTTATTCTGGCCTAAATTCACTAACCTTGCGGGACTATAATGCATGTAAGATTTTCTTTTTAATTTAAGTGTTATGAGTATTTCATTTATAACTTAATCCCATTCATCGAAACCGATGTATTTCTATAGGCGAGGATTCATCAGAGGTATGTACATATATATGTACGTCGTAAGTATTTTTCGTCTATATTTACTCATACGTTGAATACAGTTCAAATTTACATACGTTTAAATCTTACAAAGTTAACTGGCTGATGCAATGATCATGAGCTTATCAAAATTACAAACAAAAAACGTGAAATCATTGAAAGTTCTATATTTCATTTAGGTAATAAATGTACCCTTCAAAAGTGTAAGTACGCCTGTAGATACATATGTATGTATGTAAATACAATGTATAGTTGCAAAAAAAAGCCGGCAGCGAACAAAACAATTTGAGTTGGCGAGGCTGGGAGAGTACGCAATAATTTTTATATAGATAGATATTTACATACATATATGTAGCATTTACATATACTTATTTACTTATGTACATATTTACATACTCAAAATGCCTGAGAAGGTTGTTGATCGATAGATGAGAATCATATTTAGTGGAAATTGCATATTAAGCTGGTAAACAAATACATATGTACGTATATAGCATTGTTTATGTTGTTTTTATAAAAGTAGAAACACACGCCCACGTTCATATGCACATGCATACGTTTTGCTGACGCCTCCCAATCTTTATATATATGTAAATATGTAAATATAAATGTATTTATATACTATATGTGATGTACCTATGCATAAACCAGTTTATGTATGTACACACATATGTATGTACATATATAACATTTATTTTATTCCATAGGGAATAATAATAGGAACTTCACGATGTCTACGGCGTAAAAAGCGCATTGGCGTCATTCTGGTACAAATTGTCGCCGACACGTGTGACAATTTCGCTCATTAAGGCCGCTCGTATTTACCTACAAATACATACATACATACATATGTATGTATGTACAAAACCTAGACACTATTTTGTATGAATATATGTATGTATTTAAATATCGTTAACTGGTACAGGAAAGAAGTGGATTATAAAATTACACATACATACATACAGTATGTGCTTACTGACATATGTAGATATGTACATACTTATATACATACATACGTTATGGATAATATCAGTTTGTGGAATATAAGCACACAGGTCCATCCTCACATTTCGTCGTCATGCTCCCTGACATGTACATATGTACATATGTATGCCAAAATTAGAAACATAAATGCGCCTTTTCATAGCAGCCTTATTACAAGATGACGCAGAATTTTATCGAGAGCAGCGTTATGATTATTCCTTACAATTGCTATCGGGTCACATACATAAATATACATTCATTTTATACCTGAAAGGGTGTGCGCAGCATACATTTGTATATACATATGTATGTATGTACGAGTACATTTGCAAATAGACGTGAACACAATGTATGACTATTAGGCGGTAGGTACATATACATACATATGTATGTTTGGTGGTATGTACTTGTTTACACGTTAGCTTATCATAAGTCGAAATAGGCGGTACTGAGTGCAGTGCCCCAAGTGGAAAACCTCGAACAAATCACGTAAGCACATACATATACATACACACACCAAGTTAAATTTGAGAGAAAATTACCACAGAAATCACGACGGTGAAACGCCTATAAATAGAAGCAACAGTGTTTATGTTTATAATTATATACAATATTTAAATATGCATATATGTATGTATGTACATACATATACATACATGATTTTTCCAAAATTAGGTCAACAAACGCTGTCGTTCTTTAACAGTGAAACACTAGGTCTGTCGGAAAAACACGCCAATAATTGTGCATTTGTATAATTGCGAATTTTTATTTTGGCTTGAGTTGTGTATTGTATGTGCACGTTTTGTGTGGTTATAATTGGCTTGATAAGAGACCCACAATTACTCACTTATGAGTCATAGCAAGCAAATCGTCTGATATGTACTACTGACTACTCAGGTTCTTTTGTTATTTTGCCACTTTTACTTTCATTTGAGTATTTTATTAGTGCATACATACATGTATGTATGATTTATATGTAAGTCATTTTATAGATAAGAAACCGAAGTGTCAATTAACTGCTATTTTTCCGGAGGTAAAACAGTTACACACGTTGGGCGATGCT